TTCTGACCTTGTAACCTACGTCTTAGTCATCAGGGGTGACAACGCATCTGTAGCCTTTGTTTTATAAAGTTGGCTGCAACTTCGTTTTTCACTTAAATTAAAAAAAAAAACAACTTCTTAGCTATTTCTGCCGTCGAACAGCAGTGCGTGCACTGATGGTCCCGGTCTAATGGCTATAGAAGAAAGCCAGCAATTACAAGGTATCCCATCTTGTTTCTCGTAGGTGAATTTCGTATATGAATCACACTGTTATTATCCTATTACTTTATATTGTATAATTTGAATATATTACGTTTATTGTTAATAATTACCGACATAAATTTCCTTGCGTGCAACAATAAGTCGTATAATAACCGATAATTCTATTTATATTTAATTCCAAACGCAAACTCCTAAAATTACATTATTACACCGATAAATCTTGTTATTGCATGATACTAATGTCTTGCAGTAGAAACGATGGAAATTTTAAAACAAAAAAGATTAACAAGCAATGACAAGGTTTTGTACCTGGGCACTCCACGGTACGGCTAATTTCAGTTTAGAAATTCATCAAGGTTTCATGGATTAACGATTTTCGGATCGTTTTCTTTTGCTCATTAATGTCTTGTTTGTCGTAAATAATTTAAAGGCTGAATAATAATAAATTGATCGACGTTTATGTGTCCTTCACCATGTCCTTCACCATATTCTTTAACCGTTTAAAGCGGTGTAAGTATATCAGTGGTTGTTACATGGTAGGACCACGCTACATTTAATTTAATTGAATGCGGAAGATGTCAGTATCATGAAGCCTTACGACTCTAGACTTTAAAACTGAATTATCAGCAGAACACACTCGAAATCGGCAAGGTCTCTGTTGCAATATGATACGGCTGATTGTTGCGTGTCATGTTGTGTTTCACCTATCTTAACAATAATTTTATATATTATAATATGATGTGTGAATGTATGTCAGTCAGGGCGATAATGGACTGGTTAGTCATTGTCGTTATATCAGTTACTTGATAAAAATATTCATATAAGTTCTGTCGATTCCATGACTCAATGTTTGTGCCGGCACCTTAATTAATAAACATGTTTGATTGTTTCTTCCAGTAACTGGTTGATGAAGCTAAAAGTAAAAACGTGACTTTCAATAAGAATTACATGTCATCGACCTATATTGAATAAAAAAATATTCAATTCTAAGCACGTTTAAGTAGTCATCCTTTGTTTTTCTAAAATGGTGCATAATTATACATATTATATATACTTTTTTATACAATAAGAATGACAAGCAAACAGCAAGGAGATGCTGCCTATAGACACCTATTATCTATCCTCGCTTAAAAATCATAAAGTAAATGCGTTGTCACCTCTGAAGATCACGTTTCTCCGGTTCTTTGCACTCACTCTAAGAAACCTGCCTATGTTTTTTCTTATTGCATTAAGCAGTTGTTTTGCGTTGGTATTCTGTGAGAGCGTGGTCCGCCACCGGTCAAACCGAAACATTTGTGAAAACCATAATAATATACTCGTAGCCCGTTCGTATCTGTATCGTGACTCTACCATTTACATAAGTACTTATCAATAAATACTATTACACTACAATAAAACATTTTAGGCATTTAAATTACCTGATACAAGTAGGAATATTAAAAATAAACCCATTTTATTATGCGATATATAAAAAGTAACAATCTTACGAGTAATGTGCAGTATAAAATTTAAGAGAATTCAAGGCATTCCATTAATGACATCTATACAAATAAATAAAATTGAAGTGTCTGTTTGTAATGTCAAAATTATAGCTTTTTACTTAATGCATATGAAAGTATATACGGCAAAAAAACAATAATACAATTTTTAAAGTTTTTGTCTGTCTGTCTGTCTGCCCGTCCGTCCGTCCGTCTGTCTGTTTGTTCCGGCTAATTTCCGAAACGGCTGGACCGATTTTGACGGGATTTTCACTGGCAGATAGCTGATGTCACAAGGAGTAACCTAGGCTACTTTTATTTTAGAAAAAGAATTATGGTTCCGCGCAAAAAAATTAATACCCCAAATAACACGCGGGCGAAGTCGCGGGGATTAGCTAGTATTAAATATTACCTATACCGTGTACGTGTAGTGGCGGTGTGTGAGTATCTTCTATCTAATACAATCCCGTGGGTGTCGTAGGAGGCGACAGATTGTAATAATGAAACAGGAGATTAGGCAGGAGCAATTTCTTGATAACAACTCAAAATAATAAAAAATCGCGATTGTCAATTCGCCCACCAAGCGTGGCAAATATGGCAGCGTGCGTGGCAAATATCCTCGCTATGTATGAGGCAATTTATGGGGGAGGCCTGTGTTCAGCAGTAGATTTTTGATAGGTTGTAGTACTTATTGCAAGTAATTTATGTTTTTTTAGAACCGGTTGGTAGAGAATGCCATATAGCATTAACCTCGCCTTTTGTACAAATATTTGGTGCAATAAAGAATAAATAAATAAATAAACCGACAATAATCAGCATAAGTTTTTTTAAATGAATACTTTACAGGGTCGGCAATTACTTAATGTCAGGTGGACTGTGTGCTTGTGTGTGTCACCCTAATCCTATAAATAAAATAAAAATTATGTTGAACACTTAGTCATAAAAGTCATGCGGGACATGCATAGACATTTTTTATGCGTACAATAATCAGTTGAATTTCCTACATGGCTTGAATGAAAACGTGAAAATAATGGCCCGAGAACCACTATACGAGGGCGGCACTGAAAATTTCGGGAATCAAGGAAGTGTCACAACATTACTATTTAAAAATGTATTTATTGCTTTTCAAAGTATTCTCCGCGAAATTTGATACATTTTTCCATACGATGGATCCAATCATTGAAGCAACCATTCCATTCGGAAGTAGGGGTCTCCAAAATGGCCGCTTTGTAGGCGTCCACAGCTTCTTCAGGTGATGAAAATCTGTCCACACAATTTATTCTTTATTTTAGGGAAAGTATAGAAATCATTAGGGCTTAGGTCGGGGCTGTACGGCGGATGGTCTAATAATTCTTTCTTGCTCTAAAAACTCTTTTGTTCTGAGTGCGGTGTGAGAACTCGCATTGTCGTGATGGAGGATGATGCGGCGGTTGCAGTTCTTTTTACGGAGTTCAGAAACGACCTGTGGCAAACAAATGTTAGCATACCATTCTCCATTAACCGTTCTTTGTCCCTCAAGAGGAATAGTCGTAACATGTTTGGAGACAAACGTGGCCACCATTTTTTTTGCAACACTCCGTGAACGAACAATTTTTGTTGGCTTTAACTCATTTTCGAACACCAAACTCGTGATTGGTTTTTTGTTTCGGGTTCGTACGCGTATATCCAGGATTCGTCACCTGATACGATGTTGTATACAGCATTTGAGGATCCTGCGTGGAATCTTTCGAGAGTTCTGACGCACCAAGTAACGCGAGCCGCTTTTTGCTCTTCACAGAGCGAATGCGGTATCCATCGGGAAAACAAATTTTTTACACCTAATTGTTCATGCAAGATTATTTGGATTTGACTCATGCCATGCCATTGTTGTCTGAATTTCGCGGTATGTCACATGTCGATCTTCCTCAATCAGCTTACGCACATCATCAACGTTTTCTTGGGTGACTGCAGTTTTTGGACGACCTTGACGGGGAGCATCACTGAGCTTGACACGTCCACGTTGAAATTCAGCAAACCAGCGATAAATTGTGGTTTTGGATGGGGCTTCAGCACCAAATGCAGAAATCATCCGGTCAACACACTGTTTTTGTGTTAAACCACTTCGAAAGTCATAATAAATCATCGCTCTTGAATTTTCTCGACTCAATTCAATTTTCTCGATGACTAAACAAGTTTCATAAAACCTTGTGGCAAGACCGAGAATCTTTTTTTAAATAAATAAATGGTATTCGATTTTTGAAACCAAGGAATTTTCAATTAAAAAGATTTTAATATGACAGGAACAGTGGAAATATTCTATTCCCGATACTTTTAGTGCAGCCCTCGTAATAAAGTGAAATATGGCGTTCAAATAAAATGAAACGCATAAAAACTTGGTAAGATTCCATAAATCACGTTTACATCAAATATAGGTATACGGGCCCAGTGTTTAAGATAATAATTTCGGCGCTGTAGTATACGTAGTAACTATTATCTAATCTGTGCTAAAGTATTAGTACTTTATTCTAAGACCCACATTCAGAAACAATTTTAAGCTTCAACCCTAACTCTACAATAACAAAATTTAAGTCTAGGTCTAGTCCATACCCATACTATTGTCCATACTTCACAAATTTTGACATTTTGAAGTTTCAGTTTGAGCTTGAGATTGTCTCCGAATACCGGCCTATTTTTAGAGTTTAGTTGAATTTAGTTTATAATATAATTGGAAAACGTCATGTGTTAAAAATAACCCCCAAGTATTTAATGTAATGCAATCGGCACAAGTTTCATAATTCGCATCGTCCGTATTTTTTGCCACTGTGTTATTACAGTTTCAGATCAAATTTGGGAATAAATCTAGTCCCTATCTAAACCAACATAGGTATTATTTCATACGTGGTAGAGCCATGCTGCAGCTATATGGTTGTACCAGGAATGGGTCGGCTCGACTGGGGTGGGACCACACCCTCACAGAATACCAGCGTAAAATAGCAGCTTAATGCTGCTGTGTTTCGTATGGTGAGTGTAGAGAACTGGAGACCCTTCTTACTGGAAACGAGGTACTCCATCTTAGTCCTCAGGGTTGACAACGCATCTGCATTTTGATTCTTAAACGGGGATAAATGTAGATATCTATGGGCCACAACATCCACTTACCATCAGGTGGACTGTATGCTCCTTTGTCACAATTATTCTATAAAAAAAATTATTAAATTGCAAATTTTTTTTGTGATTAAATTAGTTTTTCGATGCGAGTGAAACAATTTTTTATGTATTACCTACGTATTCGTTTACTTTAAAACTTTTCACGACCAGCAATTCAGTGGTGATTATTTACAGGTAATGGTGTGGTCATTCATTTGCCTGGGCTCTTCGAAGAGTTAAAGAAAAATGAACTGAAGGGTATGCAAGGTTGGCAGGACCGCCTTATCATCTCCGACAGGGCGCACATTGTTTTCGATCTACATCAGCAGGTACAGTATTAATTTTATTTAGATGTCCTGCTCGAAGGACCAACGCAAATAGAGTACTGATAAATTTAATCCATTCGCTTTCCCGTGTACTACATATAATTCAAAGTGTCTGAAAATCGGACAGTGAAAGTGTTAAAATACGTTTTCCGACTTCAAAAAGGAGACGGTACTCAATTCGACTGTGTTTTTTTTATGTGTGTTACCTCATAACTTTTTACTGGGTGAACCGATTTCGATGATTCTTTTTTTATTTGAAAGCTGGTGCTTCACATGTGGTCCCATACAATTATTAAGAATAACTCGAAAACCAATAGTTTTTGAGTTATTCTTAATAATTTATATTGAAGTCGGTTGTACAAAATTTTTAATTATTTTAATGACAGTCTTTATAATAAAAAATTACGATCATCTTAACTATCTATCACTACCATTCAAAATACTTTCATGATTACTAATACTTCCTAAATTAACTGAGTGGTAGGGTCCATATACTTATTACGATTTCGTCTGAGTTGGTACTACCCTCGTATCGTACCTCTTTCTTTCACCAAGTAGCAATGCATCAACTGCTGTCTTCCAGTTTAAAGATTAGGTTTTTCTCCTTAGTCCTCAGACAGTAAGCGGCTTTCTTTTTAAAATATTGGTTTCTGGCACCTGACATAGCCACTCAAGTAGACAGACTATAAGGTCGTTTCCCACACAGACGTTTCCTTAGGAAATCTTATAATATTTGTAGCATAATGTACTTATAATGCATTGTACGATATTGTACAAAGAAATGGTAGATTATAGTATCACAAAATTGATTTAATGTATTTGTTACAATTTACAATATTTATTATTATATTTTTGAGGACGTGCTAACAGTTTGAGGGTCGAAAGGTAAAAGTACAAATTGTATGTCCGTTGGCAGTTACAATGACATATGAAAATATATTGGATTGCTATTGGTGGAATAATTCACAATGTATATGCAATCTAAAATGATCTTTAAGTATGATATTAATATGATGAAATTATCTTTAACAGTTATAAATCTCACTAACACTTATTTGCACGTATGACTGAGAATATAATTATTATATAAACCAAACTTATATTTATAATAAAGTTCAGATGTGTGTACGGCGTGAACATGCATACTTTTAATTCTTCTCATAGTAGTGAAAACAATAAACAGTCAGTTTTGCAGTGGACAAAGTTATTACCACAGAATAAATAATAATTAAAATAATTATTACTGAGTGAGAATATTGCATACATAATGAAAATAATACACATTCAAATAGAGTCGCGGCCAGCGATTCTCTTGTGACTTTCGTTCTTATAATCTGTATTAAACCCTAAACTGTTTTGCGACTGGAACGACCGGATGTTTAACTAAAGCAACATTCTTTATAAATAAAAGGGGAACCCCCGAATCAATGCCCAGTGTTATTCCAGGAATGTTATTGCGTAACAAAATATATAAATGATAATCTATTGGTCAATTTCGACCTTGAGTACAGCTAACGAACATTTTCGATAGCTATTAACTGCGTAGGACATGTTATACGATACGATACTTGATGATAATTACTGTTTACAACATAAATAGACTAAAAAATAATACATAAATACAAAACTAAACTCCGACTGGGGTTGAATTAATGTTGCCAACTTTTTTTGATATCAAGTAGGTATATTATAATGATATGTAGGATTTTATATGGTAAGAGTTTAGCAACTCCAATTGGAACTAACATTATTAATCAGTGCAGAGGATCTATATTCGAGTGTATATTTTTTTGTGTTACGCGATACCTATCTTCGCAGATTGTGAATAAATTTTGATGATTCTTTTTTATTAAATAGGTTATAATTCAAGGGTGCAAATAAATAACTTCGTTTTTTAACAATTTGACGTCTTTTTTTACCTTTTGTTAAAACTTAACTACTTTATCCGCATAAAACTACTACCTGGATTCATGATATAATACATTTTATGGTGCACCGACCAAAACAAATCACCTTGAATTAGACATGGAACGGGTAGTGATTCGCCGAGTACTCGGCCACCGGGTACTAGGCCTAGATTGGGCCGAGTACTCTGCCGAATACTCGGCTTTTAAAAAAACGCGTTAGCGGACGGCGTGCGGTTATTTCCCTTACACAGAGTTGGAGATGAAACGATACGAGTAAATACAAATAGTTACTCGATACTTTAAAACTCAGTACCAAATAGTATCGAAAGAAAAGTACTTGTATCGGTACGCGATCAGTCACACATCCACGGATACTGTTGATAAGTGATTACTGATTACTCGTCAAATGAGACAACATGAGTTCATGTTCGAGAGATAGTTTTCGTTATCTGGCGCGAAAATGACTGCTTATAGAAATCGTTTTATCGGAAAACATCTAGAAAAATTATTAATCTTCCTCTCTTAAATTTTAAATATTAGTAATAATAATTTCTATTATAGACTCATACGTACGTTCTAAATATTTCTGCTGCTTCTCATGTTCCTGATGTTTTAATGTGTCTAATATAATAATAATGATAAAAACTGGCTTTTTGTCTTTATTTTTCTCTGGAATATAATTAAGGCCGAGTACTCGGTACTCGGCCGTTAATACTCGGTGCTCGGCCGTTAATACTCGGTGCTCGGCCGAACCCTAAAAAAAGGCCGAATTCGCCAAGTGCCGAATCCAAACCGAGTATTCGTCCCATGTCTACCTTGAATCATATATTTGCATGTACATATTTATATTTTCTTTGACTAAAAGTAGTTCGAGTAGCTCTCTACTCTTTAGACTCTGCCTACCCCATCAAGGATTACAGGCGTTAAGCTATGTGTGTACGTTATTAAAGTAAGGGTGAGAACGAGCATGCATACAGTCCACCTGATGGTAAGTGAATGCTCTCGGGCCCTAAACCACATTTATCGTCGATTAAGAATATTATATATTAATATTCGCTGCTGGCTGGATGAGGAAGCTCAAGGTCGCTCAGCGAGCTATTTAGAGGGCTATACTCGGAGTTTCTCTGCGTCATAAACTTAGAAATGAGGATATCCGCAGCAGAACCAGAGTGACCGTAATAGCCCAACGATAATAATGTCACTTCAGTAAGCTGAAGTGGCAATGGGCTGGCCATATATGTAGCTCGAAAAACCGACAACTGATAGGGAAAAAAGGTGCTCAAGTGGCGGCCTCGTACCGGTGCATACATCATTTCATTCACCGGATGTTATTTATAAACAAAACTGTAATCACAAATTAAAAGAAAAATCCCGTATCAGGTGTTACCTACTCTTGAATTCATACTGCGAAACTAGCTCTATTATTCATTATTTATTTTATTAGTTAAACCAGTAATCGGCTTTTTGTTGGTTTTATCTTTTTAAAGTGAAATATAAAAATTTCTTATATTTACGCGAATACTACACATGGAATAAAATTAATGTTACGGATTTTATCGCATTTAGTTTAACTTTTTTAATACCCGACGTTTCGGGCACTTAACAACACCAACTCATCTTGGGGACTGAGGTGTTTGTCGTCCTGATGTCATAGTAAACGAAAACTACATTCAACTTTTGATTTTTAATTTTGGTCCGATCTACGCAGAACGCGCTTACAGTATCTTGCGCGCTAGCAGTAGTTTTTTTTTTATAGTATAGGGTGACAAAAGAACACACAGACCACCTGATGTTAAGTGGTTGCTGTGACCCATAGACATCTACATCTATCCTCAATAAAGAATCAAAATGCAGATGCGTTGTCACCCGTGAAGACTAAGATGGAATGCCTCTTTTCTAGTAAAAAGGGTCTGCGGTTCTCTTCACTCACCATATGAAAATCAGCAGTGTTAAGCAGCTATTTTACGCTGGTATTCTGTGAGAGCGTGGCAATTCCCCGGTCGAGCCTGCCCATTCGTGCTACAACTATACTAATCATATAACTGCAACAGCAGCACATCATGGCTCTACCACGTAGAAGTAAAATGCTTGGATTTGGATTTAATTTTATTAATTATGATAACCCAAGCAGATGGTAGTACCCAGCCATCTTCTCTGTTGGAATTAGAATGGTTTTTAATTTCAATAGCCGCGCGAATCATCCTTGGTAAGAATCAGTGTTCTTTTGCTGTAGTGCTCGAAATGTCGACAATTCAAAAAGTTAAATTAAACGTGATAAAATCCGTAAATTTAGTTTTATTAATGATGTTTATCCTAACTGAAAAATATATTTAGTTAAATTTTTTTGTTTGTAAAACTGATCTTGTGCAAGTTGCAGCAATAAACGAAATATGTTCTTCCTTTTTTCTTTCTATAAATTCATAATGTGACCTAAATTTATTGATATGACAATACAGTAACACTTGTGTATGTAGATCTCACTGCTGACCACGCCCTCACAGAATACCAGCGTAAAATAACAGCTTAACACTGCTATGTTTCATATGGTGAGTGTAGAGAACCGGAGGCTCTCAGTCCTCACGGGAGACAACGTATCTGCATTTTGATTCTTAATCGAGAGTAAATGTAGATGTCTATGGGCCACAGCATACACTTACTATCAGGTGGACTGTGTGCTCGTTTGTCACCCTGATTCTATAAAAATAACACCTGCTTGGCCCTTGAACATGTGCAAAAATAATATAAACATAAACACTCACGCCTGTCACCCAGAGGGGTAGGCAGAGACTATGGACTTCCATTTGGCACGATCCTGACACACCTCTCTCGCTTTCTCCACATCCATATACCTACGCATTCACGCACGTCGGTTAAAGGTACTCTTGATTTGGCCCATTTTCAATATATCGTCAATTTGGTCGATAAACTTTCGGCCTAGGGCGTCCCTTCCCGACTCTGCCGTTCACCTCTGCAACATAAATTTGCTTTGTCACTCTTTCCCATTCATTCTTTCTACATGACCAAACCACACTACTTGAGCAAAATTTTTTGCACCAAATGAGCAAAAATAATTACTTATAAAGAAAACCGTGAAAGTTAAGAGAGTAATGTTTCACAGCCCGTGGGTTAATTGCTTCTTGATGGATTTCCTTCACTCGCGTCAAAAGATTAGTGTACTACTTATAGTTGTTTATCTTAAATGCTTTATTGTTAAGCAGTACGTTTCACAAGTGGTACATTTAAAATTTTGTACAAACCACTTCAATATGAATATAATTTATTGTTGATTTTTTTAAAACTCCCTCAACCGATTTCGATAAAATTTAAATGAGACCACCTGAGATGTATATTTGAATAAAAAAAAGAAAGAAAGAATTTTCCAAATCGTTTCAGGCGTCTTTGAGTAATATTATGTGTAAGAAAAAAGATTCCGACGAATTGAGATCATTCCTTTTTTGAAGTCGTTTGAAAAAGGAGTTTATCGCTTAGTGCGTCGGTGTCACTGTCTCGGAATTATTACAGTGGCCCTAATCAGAACGCGTGTTACTATGCTAATACCTATCGTAAATTAAACGTCTAACCGTCTCATTGAAACGAGGTCTTTTTCTATCTTATATGTGATATTTATCTGTGCTAATTATACTTTGTATAATATACTTTTCACTATTGGGTGATTAAAAAAAACCGCACGAGGCGTTTTACGTACATAAATATCCAGTTCTGGAAAAATTATTAACAAGTCATTTAAACACTTATTCCGTACGGGATTCGAACCCGTCGTCCTGTAACGCCGCAGTCAAACGCTTAGCCACTACGCTATGGAACTGCAATACTTAGTCCTAAGCTAAACAATATTATAACCGCATAAAATATGTATTTTTTTTATAGGATAGGGTGACAAACGAGCACACAGTCCACCTGATGGTAAGTGGTTGCTGTGACCCGTAGGCATCCACATTTATCCTCAATGAAGAATCAAAATGCTGATGCGTCGTCACCCGTGAGGACTAAGATGGAATGCTTCTTTTCCAGTAAAATGAGTCTCCGGTTCTCTACACTCACCATACGAAACACAGCAGCGTTAAGCCGCTATGTTACGCTGGTTTTCTGTGAGAACTTGGTCCTTCCCCGGTCGAGCCGACCCATTCGTGCTACAACTATACTACTAATATAGCTGCAGTGTCCTTTGTGTGTACGTACATATACGTCTCTGCTCATCGTCCAAATCAACCACGTTACCATCGTACAATTTACCACGTACATTGTTCTGTGTTGTATGAATTTAAGGGAATTCCATTGCTTATCGCTGGCAACAATTGACTATTAAGTTTCATTATTCTCCCGACAATGGTCTCATTTCATTATCGCCGTCCGTTATTCTCCGAATATTATATAGTGTTAAAGTGGTAAATAAACTCAACAATGTTTCTAGTAAAACGTTTGATAAGTATAAATTAAATTGCTTTATTAAAAACGGCATAGATTAAACATATGATATAGGGGGTGTTCAATATGCGTTGGTGGAATTTACTCTCTCGAACTTCCGTCCCTAGACAACCTACTACAACCCCTAGGGGCAGAATATTTTAATTCCATCGCATAAATTACCTTCTATAATGGTTCGGCCCGTGTCTCTATCTGAACTTTTAGTACTTTTAAAGTGGAAGTATAGGTTATTTAAGTAGCGTATACCACCAGGTGGGTTTTTAGTCAAACACTGGCGTATAAATACGTATAAAGAAAAGACAAAAATAGTAAATTAAAGAAGTAAATTTGCTTGCAACCGTGACGCTATAACATGTAATTTAATATTAATTTAAAAAATACTGTATTATGGCTGCTGCTATATCACCAGTGTGTGTTGTAAGAGGCGACAGAGGGAATCAAGTCATGAGATGGATGGCAGCGTTTTCCTAATAAAGACTAAAAATAAAAAAAACTGCGTTTGCTAACAAGCGTGGCAACTATGACATATATCCCCCTATGAGGAAATCTATGGGGGAGGCCTATGTCCAGCAGTGGACTTAAATAGGTTGTCACGGTAACGGTTCTATCCGCCCCACTAAGTAGAAGTCAATTAATACGTGCGCTATATACGAGTAACCCATTCTTATTGCATTCCAGGCGGATGGACTGCAAGAGGCGGAGAAGGGCAAAAACTCCCTAGGGACCACCAAGAAAGGCATTGGCCCAACGTACTCGTCAAAGGCAACGCGAAATGGCATCAGGATCGGGGATCTGCTCGGTGACATCGCCGTTTTCGAGGAAAAGTGAGTTTTGTAATAACCTTACATAGATATATGATAGGTGTGTAATGAAGTAGTACCTGTGGCGGAAGCAAAAGGCTCGCCGCAAATACCACAAAATAACCGTGAAAGTTTTTAGAACGAAGTTTTTTATCGGACGGTACGGGTTTGGTGGATGGGAGCTAGGCGACAATAAGTGTAAGATTTTTTCGTCACTACCCCTTGTGTCATAGTGTAGACGGCCTTGGCGGCGAAATAAAGAAATGAGATGGCATAATATCCGTCTCCCTTGCACTTTTTATTATATTGCAATGAAAAAAATATTATTTTATTTCAAATGACGCTCCATTTTAATAGACCCTAGTAATTCATTTATTTGTATTTGTTTATCAATAATATAATACCTACGTTTATCAATAATAATATACTACGCAAGTAACTTCGTTCCAACCGAGTGTTCCACGACACTCACACCTTTTATTAAAATTTTAATTACCGACTTGTCCTACACTACATGTCTAAGAAATATACTTCAAGGACATGTAAAGTCCACGAACACCACCGGAATAGTGTAGCAGAACAATTGTTTCTTATACCTTTCGGGAGTTAGAGGAGACCTGCCCCAAACAGTGGGTATGTATATAGGCTGTAATTTTATTTTACTTTAAAATGGAATATAATTATCGTCATCATCAACCTCGCCCGTTGTTAATTGGCGATCTCTAGATGTTTCACCATGGACGCTGCTCCCCGTTACTCTGCCGCGCTGGATACTTTACGTCTGCGTAAACAAAATCTATCGGAAACATTTCTGGCATTTTCTTAGACTCCTTTTACAAGTCTCCTACAGTAGCAAATGTGATGACGGAGGGAGATTCTCATACGCCACCACCACAAAGGCAAAAGTGGAAATATGGCCCTATAATAATAAGAAGAAGAATCAGAAGCCATAAGATGTGGCTGACATCTCCCATAGATACCTCTTCCGATATTCACGGGATGTAACGGTGGGTTTTTTAACGCACCCACACGGCAATTATTCTATAAACAATTTTTTAGCTATGTTCGTCAGAATACTAGTAATCGCCATATTGTTTTTGTGCGATTATGATATTGGTTTTAAAACTAATATACAGTGCCCCTTACCGTGTGGAAAAGTGGAGACCATGGTGAATCTTACGACCCCTAGCAATTCTAAATCCGTGAAATCATTTAAGCTAAGAAATCTAGAAGAATCATCGATACATACATGTACTCACGCACGCATATATACACATACACACGCATATACGCACACTTGCATACTTACATACACCAAAAAGTTAGTCGAGTAAATATATAACATTTTCATCCTCAGGTTCCGTACCCTTGCAGCAGGTTACAAACGGATGTTCCCTGCATTAGAAGTAGACATAGAGAGCGAGCTGACCCGGTACCGCGAGTACGCGACCAAAATCCGTCCCTTAGTCCGCGACACGGTTTCTTACTTGCACAAGGAGATCAAAAATGGCAGAAAAGTGCTGGTAGAGGGCGCTAATGCTGCGATGTTGGATATCGATTTTGGTATGTGGATTATTATTATATAAATTAGAATAAAAAATACAAGTACACAGTCTTCCGATAAAGTTAAGTCAGTCGTCATTTTGGGTGGTCCACTACTGTGCGATTTACTAGAAGTTTTCTTCTAAGCACGATTTCTTTGTGAAATTGTTTACCACCGGTGATTTTTCCGTACCGATACGGCCATCAAGAAACGAGCTTACTCTTTTTTAAAAGGCCGGAAACGCAACTGCAATTCCCCTTGTGTTGCATTTGTTCATGGGCGGTGGTTGACAATCACCATCAGATGAGCCGCATGCTCGATTGTCCCCTTTTCTATAGAAAATTCTACCTGATGGTTAGCGAATGTTGTGGGCCATAAAATATCTACATCTATCCTTGATTAAGAATAACAATGCAAATAAGTTGTCACCTTTAAGGACTAAGTTGTAATGCCCTCTTACCAATAAAAAAGGGTCTCCGTTTCGACGATATTTTTTTATTGTTAAGAAGGCATTTCATTTTAATCCTCAAAGGTTACAACAAAATTCCAATTTTAGCAAGGGCAGATTTAGGTATATGTGGGCCTCAGCATTCACTTACCATCAGGTGGATTGTGGTTTCATTTGTCACCCCTACTTCTTTTCAAAGCTTTTATTAATTCCGTTCGTTTATTCGGAAGTTGTCGTAGATAAAAGTTGACCAGGAGAATATATAATCATATCTTTATTGCAGGCACATATCCGTATGTGACGTCATCCAACTGCAGTATAGGCGGCGTGTGTACCGGACTAGGACTCCCGCCGAACGTGATCGGTGAAGTCATGGGCGTCGTGAAGGCGTACACCACGCGCGTTGGCGACGGACCATTCCCCACCGAACTGCACGACGTGAGTACTCGCGACCTCTTAGTTGAAAAGTGGAACTTAGTGTATTAAAGTTGATTTTCATATTTATTACAGCACAGCATAAGTCCACGGCTGAATGTAGACCTCCCCATCGGATTGCTATTCAATGATCCTAAGATACTTGCATGCATCAACTCCTTCATGTTTTACCAGCTTGCCACTCCATGAAATGAGGGCTAGCCTTTCACGGTGTTTAGCATTATGGCGCTAACTTTCGAAAACCTGTCTTCATTGTCTATTATTGCTTCCTGAAGCTATAAGGGAACAGTATTAGCATTTCAAAATTGATTTATTAACCTTGGATCAATATATTGGGAATATTGATTCAGTCTCTTTAGTAGCTTTCTCCAAAGAGTTCCACTGCATTAGTACTTGAAGTCTTCGTTAAAAAAGGAACCTTAATTGTGTTTTGTTACGGCCACTTCTAGTTGTTAGTAAAAAATAATGTAATATTACTTTGTTGGAAAACAAAATGGCAACTTCAGTTTCTCGTTTTAAGTTACATACTGGCAATTACTTTTTTATGGACACATGTAATCAACTTCAAACAAAAACGGGCTACTGTTGCGTCGTCACTTCTATTATGATCTATGATAAAATATCGCACAGCTTATAATTTATACATATGAATAAATAAAATTAAAGTATTTGTCTGTAATATCAAAATAACTGTCTTTTATCAATCTCAGGTTTTATTCATTTGCATGCCATTATGACATGAATGTCTTTCCGAGCAAATCTTCGGAATGGCTGGACCTATTGTGTTAAAACTGCACGAACACAAATAGATCTAAGCTTTATGTAGTTGTTGTAAAATGGAAAACTTGATAAAATAAACCGTAATTGATGGATTATTTCAAAAATCGAAATGACGTCACATTAGTAGATCCCACTTAGGCGAAGCCGGGGCGAGTCCCTAGTAATAAATATATTAGTTTCGTACTGAAGGTAATCCAAAATATTTATTTGTTCGTATTTTATACTGTCATACCGTTCATCAAATTGTGGTAAAACTCTGTCAACTTATTGCTTGCACTTGCGCGGAGGTTATAAGCATAGTACAATTAACTTACAAGTGGCGCGCGTATCGTTCCTAAAAAAAATATTTGAGAGTCATATTATATCATTCAATTTCAATAATGTATTATTGAATAAGACTATCATATCATTCCTAATTAAGCAATATGACTTCCAAATTTAAAAAGATTTTTCTATTTATATAGTTTTTAATAATAATATAAAAGTTAATGTTAGAATTATAACTGCGTCAAATACCTAATTTCTTTGCCATTATCTACTACACTCTTATTAATCATCCCGATACAAGCTTTACGTTACCTTCGTATTTCATGTTGTCTCCCTTATGTTACAGGAGACTGGACAATTGCTTCAAGACCGTGGTCACGAAGTGGGCGTCACCACCAAGCGAGTGCGTCGTTGCGGCTGGCTCGACCTTGTCGTAGTCCGGTATACCGCCATGGTCAATGGATACACTTCGTGAGTATATTCCATTATTTGAAAGAAACACTAACATTGCTATTTACATGTATTCTTTTTCATCATCAGCCTATAACACTTCTGGACACGGGTTTATGTATATGATTTGTCATAATCAGCAAGCATGACAGGTGGAGTAGCAATTGCAATACCAGACGTCGTCACTCGCATCAAATGAACGCACTTACGGTCTGGATGTTTTGTATTTTTGGCCTACCACCTCTGTATTGACTGCCTCATTGGCCTAGTGGTTGTAAACGCAGTTGCTGATCATAAAGTTCTGGGTTCGAATGTTGGGTCGGGTCTAAATCCAAAAGTTTTTCTGTGAAGATGGACTCAGTAGCAGCACAGAGTCGGAAAGTTGGATTTGTTTTCACTCCCATACCTCGGAAAGCACGTAAAGCCTTTGTAAGTCTTGCACTTGATCACTCTCCGATCGTGTTGGATTACCGACCCATAGGATTATGAAAGTGAGGGAGTAGAGAGTCTACCGGTGCTGGTGCATATACTTGGTCAATATGGTCCTGTCCTACACAGATACCTAGTCCTCATTGAGATTGGCCGCTGTAACCAAAATTGTGTCTAGAGCACATTATTATTAAGATTAAATTATAACTGTTGTTTCTTACCGCTTCTTCTCACAAGGTCTTGTTGACTGTTAAAAGGTGCTTTGTAAAAGCCAATTTTGAGTAAAAATATTTGACTGACTTTTTTCAGATTGTGTTTAACAAAATTAGACATTCTGGACACCTTAAAGGAGATCAAAGTGGGTGTAGCATACAAGCTTAATGGCAAGGTGATAGACTACTTCCCGTCTTCTATGGCAGAACTAAGCAATGTTGAGGTAAGCATCTATTTGATTGTTTGTAATTTGGCTTTTAAGAGGCATTCCATCTTAGTCCTCAGCAGATGAGCGTCTGCATTGTTATTTAATCGAAGATTAATGTACCCGTGGGCCAAGACATCATCTTGTCATCAGATGGACTGTGCTCATTTGTCACCCTTATACACCATGCAGCCAATTTCTTTATTCCATATAGATTATAAATAAAGACCGGATTATATACAATAAAGCCCAAAATATGCATGCAAATATGCAAGAAAAATAGCTAAAATATGCACGAAAATCCATAAAAAGTGCCATAATATGCAACATAAAGTAATAAAAAAGTCGTATTTTTAAATGTTTTTTGTTTTTATTTTTAAAAGATATTATTTCTCAACGATAACAATGTTATTTGCGAAAATATCAAGTAAAAAGTATATTATTTAACAATGAAATTTACAATTTACCTTTAAAAATATATACGACTCCTGTTCTGTTCCAAATGTTCTGTAGACAAATTGTGTCTACGATCGTATACAATATAATAATACATTTTTGTAATCGGAAAAGGACCGTTGTATGTCCACTAAGATTACTGGGCAGAATTTAAATTTGGGTGCCATGTTTGGGCGTTTTGCCCCGTTGATGATGCTATCAATTTGGCATTAGGCATCAAACACTGGGTATATTGCTCAGTATGTTTTGAAACTTTTCTTTGAGTTTACTCGGAAATAGCTCTGGCAATGAGGAGTTCATAAGACGAATTTTCTTCATAACCTAAATAGATGCATTCAACACCAATACATGAGTTTCTAGAGTTTTAATATTCGCGGGGTGAAATACGCATGATTTCAAAAATTTTGCTACAATATGCAACTATCTCTGAAAAGGGGCTAAATATGCAAATGCATATAATCCGGTTTCTAATTATAAATAATACTTATTGAAAGCCACTCTTTTGTTATAAATAATACTTATTGAAAGCCACTCCTTTGTTTACTTTACCACTGGTTCGGAAAAAAAAAGTCTGTCCTGGGGAGAACCAGCAAGAAACCCAGCAGACCTTTAAAAAATATAAAGCACAACTCCATATTAAGATTCCAGGACCACTAAGCTATAAAAATAGAGAGAAAAGATAATAGTTTATATATAGATATATCAATATGAATAGATGGTAATGCGCCGACAACACTCATTTCAGGAAAGAAAACTAACCATACTTAACTTAACATCTTTGAAAAAGTCTAAATATCCCTTACAAACCTAAAGCAGGCCTCTGTCACTCTTGCTACCTGCGTGAAATAATTACCTACAATCGCGAGCTGCCCCAGGGGTAGATCGCAGTCGGGGTTAGCGCGCTCTATACGATTGAATGTTAAAGTTTTTTTTAACGCTGTTTACGTAAATAATTTTTTGTAAATACTTGTTGAAATACTCGTCGAAATAATTTTTTTTAGTGATTAATATATTTCATTGTAGGAGAAAAAGTTTCAATGTAATTTAAGAATAAATATATGTATATTATTATATTAATATATGTATATAGGTTTATTTGTTGTTTACGCTATCTAGGTACCTATACGAACAAAGCATCGCGATTCCCGACGAATGGCCTTGCAAGTTGCATGCGTTGGGCATCACAGAACTCACATAGTAGATAATATGTTCGATTATAGTCAGCATAGGTACTTTACCTAAGTAACTTACCATTTCACAAAGTATTTTTTACTCTTTATTAACAGCCCTTAGCAACCACGGAAAGTCCGTTGTGACGTAGTGAGGAGAAAAGATGCAAAGTAATATGGACATTCGCGCGCAGCGATAAAGTTTTATTTAACTTTCGTGCGCGATTTATCTGATTAATAATAACTATATAGACTATTAAAACGTCGGCAAGCAGTTAACATCAAAAGAGTGCAACTTCTGTATATAGTACTATTATTTATTCTGTGCCTAAAGGTTGTATCGAATAATATCAACAAAATTTCCTAGTATAATGCTTATGAAACCACGAAATATTTATTTCAGGTGGAATATATGACCCTTCCTGGCTGGGCGTGCAGTATAGAGGATGTCCGGCAAATGGACAAACTACCTGAGCAAGCGAGAAACTATGTCAAGGCGATTGAAGACTTCCTACAGATTCCTGGTAAGACATTACTCATAACATTGAATGAATTTGTTGATAATAAAGTCATAATGTGACTATCGCTGGAAAACATTACGATCTCAATGTGTTCTGATGGGTTTAAATTAAGTGATCTCAATGAGAAATACTATTGTAATTGTTGAGTATTAATGAAGTTTATGATCAATAAGGACAACAAGACACAGATAGATATTATGGTCGACTCGCTATGATTTGCCCATATTATCACACCTAAACTGGTTCTTGATAGGCGTTATAATTGAAGTTGCTGACAAATGCAAATTGGTTATTTTGTCAAAGCAGGTTAACTTTGACCAAAATGTTAATCGCAGAAATCAGCTGTGATAGAATCAATAACAAGTATACACACTGTATAACTTGTTAGCCTGATTGCCTAATAAGCTTTCCATATTTTATATTAAATTATTTATCAAATGTAACCAAAAACTATTTACCATAATTGATATTGCGAGATCAGTGGCGTACTTTATTATAAAATGGTAGTTGTTAGTAATAAATAAATAAAAATAAAGAGAATATTTTGGTTTCATGTTCAGAGTATGATTATTGCCAAAAATACTAATACTTTTAATGTTATTGACATTAGTGACAATCAAGGTAAATGGGTTCCACAAACAACATCTTTTTTATTTTTATAGGTTTAGGGTGACAAACCGGCACACAGTCCACCTGATGGTAAGTGGTTGCTGTGGCCCATAGACATCTACATCTATCCTCGATTACGAATCACAATGCAGATGCATTGTCACCCGTGAGGACTAAGATGGAATGCCTTGTTTCTTGGAAATACAACACACAGCGGCGTTCAGCTGCTATTTTACGCTGGTATTCTGTGAGAGCGTGGTCCTTCCCCGGTCGAGCCGACCCATTCGTGCTACAACTATATAATACTAATATAGCTGCAGCATGGCTCTACCACGTCTAACTTAACGACCATAATCTGTTTTCATGCCTGAAGAATGTAATAGAATGCTACACAGCGTGTAATTATAGTCGCTCTCTATACATATCAAACAGTAAATGCACTGCTGGTGCTGCTACCCCCAGTAAGGAGATAAAAGACTAGTAAAGGTAGTTAGTTGGTATTACTAGGTGATAGTAGTCCTTTTCTCCTTAGAAGTCTGTCTGGGTAGCTATCACCAACATATCTATTTCTACCTCCAAATAGCAGTGCTTGCATTACTGTGTTTCGATCTGCAGGAAGGTTGTAGAGAGTCAGTGTAATTATACGCTGTTTTAACATCTTAGACCTCAGGGGTGACAACCCATCATCTGTGGGTCATTTGTGCTTAAGCGTAAAATAGCAGCTTAATTAAAGCCGTTGTGTTTCGTGTGGTGAGTGTAGAGAACTGGAGACCGTTTTTACTAGAAATGAGGCTTTCAATCTTAGTCCATAGGGGTGACAATGAGTCTGCATTTTGATTCTTAATCAAGAATAAAGGTCTATAGGCCATAGGTTGGGCAGTGTTCGGGAAATTACGGCACATCTTCTCGTCAGGTATACCTCAAAACTTTGTAAACGAGACTGTACAACCAGTGCATGTTGCAAGTGATGACCTATGGAACTGAGACGTAGTCCTTCACTGTTGACCGTATGAGGAAGCTCAAGGTCGCTCAATGATTTATGGTGAGGGCTATGCTCGAAGTTTCTTTGCGTGATAAACTTAGAAATGAGGATATCCGCAGTAGAACCAGAGTGACCACCGACATAGCCCAACGGATTAGTAAGCTGAAGTGGCAATGGGCTGGCCATATAGCTCGAAGACCAACAACCGATGGGTGAAAAGGGTTCTCGAGTGGCAGCCTCGTACCGGTAGGCGAATTGTGGACCGACTCCCCACTAGATGGAATGACGACCTGGTAAGACATGCAAGAAGTCGATGGATGCAGGTGACTTAGGACCGTGCTTTGTGGCATTCCTTGGGGGAGGCCTATATTCAGCAGTGGACTTGTGAAGGGCTGTAATGATGATGATGATGATAGGCCATAACATCAACTTACCATTAGGTGTACTGTGTGCTCGTTTGTCACCTTTATTAAAGAATAATATAATTGGATGCAGTATCCTTTGATTACAGTAACCACTTACTATCAGGTGTACTGTTAATTTATTTGTCTTTGAACCTTAGCTTTGAATTGTTTTGAGGCTGATCAAATTTTTTTTTTTCAGTGAAATTCATTGGAGTGGGCCAAGGCAGGGAGTCTATCATCAGTGCCGATTAACAACAGCCAACACTTAAGCTTAGTGTCACTTAAAGTTACTTAATTAAAGCACAGTCGCTTCGTGCGTTGTTAGCAAATTGTATCTTTCACGTAATGTTAGCGTTGTTGGAATTAAATCTACTGTTCAATATAAACGTGGCGACACACTAGTGCGGCGATCGTCGACGTGTATAAATTTAGTTCTACTAGTAAAATTAACCGAGGCTTTATTTAGAATATTCTTGGCTGAATTGATATTTCGTGTATTGCGAATACATCATTTTATATTTTGTAACGTAAATAAATAATAATAAAAATTGCTTGTTTCCAAAAAACGTGTGAATAAAAGAATTTGAAATAGCCTCCGAGATAGACTAAACATTAATACCAGTACATTTAATTCCACTTATACAATAAGTTCTTCGGTAGCAAAATTGCCTTTCAATATATAATCTTAATTTTATTTCCGCGTTTTAAAAATGCGAACATTGTCAATAATTTAATTGCAGTTGTCTCAGTATAGTGTATTTACATATTTCTGAACGAGGCGTCTTGCATACAAGTTATTAACCATATTTTGGTGTTACTAAAATTCTTGAGTGAAATGTGTAATAATGAATTTTATTAAAGGATAATTAATTATGCCTGTCTGATAGATTGTTGTTTCGATTCTTTAAAAAAAAAAACCGAGCATAAATGACAAATAAGGAAGTAAAAGTAAATGTTTAAAAACTAAATAGTCACAAATTTGGTCGTCATACATATTCAATTTTTAAAATGCCTAGTTGTGTATAGACCCTAATTCACTTTAATGGGCCACTGCCATTAAGTCTGTTTTAAAATATTTTTACTATACTGACTTTTAAATCTTTTCTGTTGCCAGTATTTTTTCTAATATATAGTATTAAAAAGAACACAACGAAGTTAAAAAATTTCACATCCAACCATTTTTAATTTTATTTATCAATTTATCATACATTTACTTACTGAATTTTATTTTATTATGAGTTGATATAGGTACAAATTGGTTTTGATGATACTGAATGAAGGTATGTCTTTTTAGATCTTTATTTCAATTTAGTCGTTTTTTTTAGTCCATTTTTGTGAAATCTATTTTTGCAGATATTTGTTTTTAACTTACTTAATATAAAGTAAAGAATTACATTTTAGGAATCTGAAACAATATTTTTTCCAGATTCAAATATTACTTTTTTTGGTGCTTATGAATGATACGTGAAGTCTAAAACTCACTGCAGCAATAATAATGCTAATAAAGCAATAATAAAAACCTCATTAAAATTTAGAGACTATGTCTTTGTTAGGCAAAAAAAAAAACAAATTAATGTTCCTAAATAACTATGGAGGGTATTTTGCCACCACATGGAAAGATTTGCCATGTACTCCATTTATACATAGAGATAATGTAAGTATTAATATGGAACTACCTTGCAAAGAATGCACAAAAGACAGCAATGTTAATATGAAAGAAATATTCTATAATGTAAAACAAATAATAAAATAAATGATAAACATTGGATGGATTGAAGTGTTTTTATTGTTCATGTTGTTTTGAAAATCAAGCAATGTAACAAGTCTTTATATTATTGGTAATATAATATTAATAGGTATTATTTGTCAAATAATTTCTAGCACAATAGGAACATGTTCCAATTTGAAAAAATCGCATTATGGCATTAAATTTTATACACAGTTAAAATTGGAATACTTTCACCATTTTAACCAGACGTCTCATTCCAATAAATATTTTGAAACATTTTATATGTACTTACATAGTTTAACAAGATCATTGTTTCGCTTTTTACAAACATTTTGATGGTGTGTTTTATGTGATATCTATACTATACTATTTTAATGTAAATATTTTCATTACAGTTACTATTATGCCAATAAAATAATGGTTTATTCTTTTATTACTGTGTTTTATTTATTAAATCACAGAATAAATAATATAGTACCTACGTACAGCAGTTGTACTTCTTTGATCTTGACGTTTGCCGACGTTTTAATACCCTACATAATTTGATTAATCGCGCACGCAAGCTAAATAAAACTATCACTGCGCGCGTGTGTCCTTACTTTGCATCCTTTCCCCTTCCTACGTCACGGCAGACTCGCGCCGTATAGCGCCGGCGTTGAGAACCGGAGACCCTTTTTACTGGGAATGAGGCATTCCATCTTAGTCCTCATGGGTGACAACGCATCTGCATTTTGATTCGTAATCGAGGATAGATGTAGATGTCTATGGGCCACAGAAACCATTTACCATCAGGTGGACTATGTGCTAGCTTGTCACCTTTATTCTGTAAAAAAAATATCAGTCCTGGCTTTGTTCTCAGACAGTCTCGACGCGCTCTTGTAATATAAAAAAATCTTACATTGCTCTTGTAAAATGTATTTTGGCAGGAGGCCGAAGGATGATCATCGTGGCCTATTTTTTTCTTTGGTAAGCTGGGTAACCGCTTAAATCCGGTGGTTCGGCGTCTGCCCCGTCAACATCCATCGTCGTCTCAAAGATCTACATTAACTATCTAAACAAATAATACCACTCACCAACAAACAAACAGGACACACACAGACAACACAAGGTTTACGCAAATTTGAATCGGAAAAGAAAAACTTATTTCAATACAAAAACACGTGTAACCAATCCACGTATAAATAAAGGTACTCTGTGCAATCCACTGACAATCAAACTGACAGCAATCACTCTGACAGCAGCCCTTTTTTCAATAAAGTTTATTTTTTAAATTAAGAGGAACACAAAAAGACAATATTTTTGACACATATACCTAATTTAAGTACACTTAATTATTATGTAGCGACATGTATTTAGCATTGGATTTTACTAGAGGCCACTAATTTGGATCCTTTAGTAGTATTCACAAAAGATTTAAGATTCAAACAATTTACTCCAAAGTTCTGTCTAATTACTAATTCAGCTTTTATTAAATCAAAGGCATACATCAATTTTCCGAGAAGCTGTTTATCTGGAGATTTTGAGATTTGTCGGGAAAATCCAGACGAATGCCGACCATCTGGCAACCCTAGCTGGACGGGAGGCAACAAATTCTTTATAGGCGTTTCGTGCCGCCTCTCGGGTATTGAATTTCTTTCCAGCCAAAAAGTTATTCAAATTCTGGAAAAGGACGTCTGTAGGCGCAAGGTCTCGTGAGTACGGCGAATGACGGAGATCTTCTAACCCCAGCTTGTCTTGTCTCAGTCTTGTAACTTTGCGTCTGTTGTGCAGTATTAGGTCGCGCGTTGTTGTTCAGGAGCAGCGGCGACGAGCGAGTTGGAGACGTGCGAGCTTCTCCGTCATTGTGTTTCGTTCTTCACAGTATACATCTGCAGCAATGCTCATCCTGTTTGGTAAGAAGCTGTGATGAATCACACCGGCGGCGGCGCTACACCACCAAACTGTGACTATCACTTTTCTAGTGGTAAGTTTTTTTTTTTAGGGCGTTGTTAGGTGCTGAATCAGGATCCAACTAACTTGCTAATCGCTTGCGATTGTCAAACAGAATCCATTTTTTGTCGCAGGTAACAATGAGGTTCAAACTTATTTCGCGCTGGCGATCATTTTTTACTTTGCTAATTTGACGCAAATGGACCAATATTGTTTTGATGCTACCGTGAAAAGCTGTTACTAATTTAGCCGTAGATCAGATCATCAGATTCCACAATCGCGTTTAATTCATCATTTGCGATCAAAGTTTTCGGACGACCACGGGATTCATTTTTCTAGTTAAAATTTCCAAAACGGAAGCTGGCAAACCAGTGGTGCGTTAGTTTGTAGTATTCGCTCCGTAAACGTCGTTGATTTTATGTGAATGTTGCGTGCCGGTTGTGTCGCGTTGCTGCCACGACGGTACTCATATTCCATAATTACTCGAATTTTTAACGTATCTATGATAGCAAAACGGTTCAAGTGCTATGAAAAAACAGTGCTAATCTATAAACAAATGACTAATTTAAAAAAAGAATTCCATGGTTTTAAAATAAAATTAATTTGAAATTAGAATTCTCAGCCTAACATAACAAAATATGTAAAACTAGATGGGTAGAATGACATGAAGTGGCTTTAACATTTTTGGAAGTCTTTCTATGTCTTCCTGGAGTTTTGCAAACAATGGCTGATCAAAGGGATAGGCGTGCTACATCTGTGGTTTCGCTGCTCTAAGCTATAATGTCGTCGGAATTCCTTGAGCTTTGTAATCCTCGCTGATATATTGGGAATCACACTCCCTTTACCTCGATCCTTAGTAAGTTCTTTACATGCCATTGAAGTTGATGTACTTTCTGCTTTCTGTTTTCTGCTAACTCAGCTTATCGATATGACCACAAACAGCTTGCAGCGGCAACGTGATACATAATAGCACGGACACATTTCAAAAACTTTTTAATAAAGCTATGGTGCTGGATAACGAAATTTGAACCGAAATCACGAAACGTAGAATAACCGGCTGTCAAACAATTAGATCGAACATTCAGGTTCAGTCTGTTGAAGAATATTACCGACTTTCAGTGTATATTTCTTTTTAAGAAAATGAATATTTATTGATTATTTACTAAACGAAATGTCTTGTCTTCAGGACACTAACAAGAATATTGAGAACAAATCCAGCAAGAAAAAAACAACAATTATTTATCAATCCCTTAGCATTTTCATCAGCTTTTTTTTCGAAATTGACTTGCCAGTGCACTATATTTTAATTAGTGAACATTCTAAAGACGGATTCAGAGGTAGGTATACAAAGGGTATGAAATGAATTTAACCAAGTCTTTCTAACACAAGGTTGAAAAACAAGCACACAGTCTATTTGAGAGTAGGATGGGCACACCAGACATTCTATCTTAGGCATGTCTGAGGACTAAGGTGGAAAGCCTGGTTATCAGTTAAAAACTTCTCTAGTTCTCTACACCCATCATACGAAAGACAGTATTATATTGTTATTTTTAACCGACTCCAAAAAAGGAGGAGGTACTCAATTCGACTGTAT